ATATATATATATATATATATATATATATATATATATATATATATATATATACTATATATATATGTATACTATATAGTTTTATATATATGTATATCTACCTCACAACTTTTTTCGTTGCTCACAGAAAACAAAATTAATTTGTATACTTTCTAAAAAAAAATAAACAATGTCATTCAAAACAGAAAAACAGATGTTTATACTTAAGTCATCCTAAAAGTTGTTAGTTGTAGTTATGTTAAACGGTACTCTATACTTAAGCATGATATTTTTTATGAAACGAATTACAACTTAAAGAATTCTGTTCTTGAATAAAAAAATATTTTATAATTTTTACATTTTTTGTACATGGATCTGAATCACCTCGATTCTAGGAGTAAAGTAGGTCGAAGAGTCATGCTTCTCATAAAACGTCAGTCTCGCGCACCCACGCAACAGGTGATATCACGTATTATCCATTGTATAGAGAAACCATAATCCTTAACACTACTCGTGTTTAAATAAAAAACTATCAATGCATATTTTAAATTGACACCATTCTATTGCATATTACAGATTGTTATTTTATATTCAAACAAACTGAAACTTCTCTTAAATTCTTTAGAAGTACATACAATAATCGAGTTAACTGTTCTCCAGTGACTTCAAAGCAACTTGGTCACTTATGTTCAAGCCTTCAAATTTAGTCAAAAGCATGTGTGGGCAGAAAGCATGGGGCTTGGGGGGGGGGGTCTAAAAATGAACAATAGTTTACTCACTGTTTCGAAGCAGGTAGAACAGGACACGAGACAGTGATTCATCGGACCGTTCACCGGCTAACTACTTCATTATCAGTGGTACACCATCTCTGGCACGACTGAGGGAAACTGTCGCGCACACGTTCAACACGAAACTCGTGCAACAGCGAAATTATCAGTATGCAGGGATGCGGTGTGCCCTTCTTGAATTTCACTGACTATAGAAGACGCGCGTGCTCAAGCACGTCCCGCTGATCCGAACCGAATAGGAGCAACCTGTTGGAGAGAACCGAAACGAGTCACAAGATGCTCGAAATAATCGTAACCGGCTGGAACGTAGCGGAAAAGAGGACTTCTCTCCGTTGCGCGGCGGACAGCATTGCTTTGCTTGGAGAGGTGCTCCGGACGTACCGGCCGCACCTGTGCTCCCTCCTTCTGAACCCTTCCTACATCTTTTCTTACTTTCTCTTCGTTCCTCCTTTTTCCTCAAACCGTTCCTCGCTTTTCTTTCGTATCTCCCTGATCTGACCCCCGTTTATATCTTTCTCTCTTTCAGCACTTACTATTACTCACGCAATATCCTTCTTTTAGATCTTCGAGATCTCTTCACATGGAACAAGATTTAATTCTCTAGAATTCCGGAAAGTGTATTTCAGAAGATGAAGTAATTTTGAGGAAATACATATCACGTTTTAATGATTTATAAAAATTAAGAGGCCTAGTAAAAAACAGATATACATAAACATGTTACAGTATTATAAAATGAAAAAATTAATTTTTCTAAAAAATTTTATATTAACTATTGGCAGAAACTATTTTTGAAAATAATGCCTGTACTTTTTTCAACTAAACCCTTTAATTATAAGTATGGTATATTATTTTTATGAATACTAGATTGTAGTGATTTGCTCTAATAATGTATCCACTTTAGAAATTTTTAATACACTTCAGACCAGGATCAATTTCGAAAATTTGAGCACTTGCTGTAGAAGAGATAGCAGTTTAGAAGGAGCATTGTAATACTGAAGTTCTTTGATTTATAATTATTATGATCATTATGAAATTTGTTACTTAGATTTATAATTCGAATATGTTTGATCGTGAGAATTATTAATCACGGAAATCCTAATCCGGATGAAACCTTTAACTTCTTTAGTTAAGCCTAAGCTCCTTTTTTTTTTTAATTCCTCCTCAAGGATATACTGTTGTTACAGTACATATGCACATTATAAACCGCGCTGTTCGTGAAGAAATATTATAATAATATATTACCAGTCAAAAATAACGACAAAGAAAATATACGTTATTCAAGTTGTGGAGAACGTCTCAGAGGATATCCTGAATTTAAATGAATCGTAAGCCTATATAAACTATAGCCGACATGACATGAAATATTAAGTGATGTATTTGTATGCGTGAATGCGTTCGCACGGTCGTGATTGTTATTTTAATTTTGCATCGTATTTCCGCAGAGTCTAATGTGTCGAAAGATACCTTAGAATGCGAAATATGTTTTCTATACTTTAATAATAAAGTATATAGTTTGTTGAAAAAAAGCTTAATAATTAGGGCATATTAATTTAAAAAGAAAAATTAAAATTGAGTGACAGACTAGGAAAATTTGTGGAAAACATATAAAGGAAAGAATTTGTTATAGTGTGCAAGTTAGAAGAATATTTGAATGGTTCCATTAAGTGTATATTGATATCTTTGAACATTTTTCATAACATTTACTTTCATAACGTACATAAATTCAAAATAAATCTACACGTGGAAATAATATGTACGGGCGTTATAATGTGTTATGTGTGTTTAGTATTCTTTGTGAGTTCGTAAAACGTGGCAATTATAATTTACACAAAAAAGTGCGTATATAAGACAGAGTAAGTCTCTTAAATATATTAAGGAATTAATTTCAGTTTAATTAATTATTGTAGAAATATGTTTAAGTCAGACACATACTTGTTCGTTTGGCAGGAAATATAATATGTTTGTTTAAAAAAAGATCGAGAATGAAATCAGTGAGAATAAAATGATCTCACTAAAAAATTAGTAAGAAAATATGTATGTATATATACATATATATACACATATATATGTATATTACGAG